TCTCTCAGCATCCCTAGCTGCTCTCAGCAATCCGAACTGTTTAAGCGATACGATTTCTTTCTCAGCATACCAATCAGCTGCTCTCAAATTTCCGGTTATCTTTCTCATCATGCGGCATATTACCCTCTCTCTCTCTCCTAACATCCCGAAACCTCAACATCCAAGCTTTCTTCATGCATCCCTAACTCGCTTGCAGCATCCATAGCCCGTCCTTCCGCATAACCGGCATTAGATTTTTTTTCTGCTCTCTATCCGAGCTCTCCTCATCCACCAGCCCTCAGGCATCGCCGTACTCGCTCCCATTACATCCTGACTCCTTCTCACAGTCCCTAGCCTCTCCCCCAGTCCTATCCAGTTCGCATCCCTAGTTCCGCTCAGCATTCCCTAGTTCTCCCGCGCATCCTAGCTCTCCCCGCATACCCTAAGTCTTCTCGCATCCCGGCCAGCGCTCCCGCATCCCTTACTCCTCTCGCATCACCTAAGCTCTCCCCGCTCTCTAGTTCTTCTACGCATCCCACAGTCTGATCTGTTTGTCAAGACTCTCGCTAACGTCGTGTAAACGGTTGGCAGGACCCGTGCAGGCAGGAAGTAGGCCCGAGTAAAGGCAACATCTCTTCCGTTCAACACCACACATTCAGACAGCTGCCATTGTCTTGAGTTATAAAAAAGCCTGGCCCTCGAGAAATTGCAAAAAACACATATTGTTTGGTTTTTGTTTAGATGTTATATTCTGGTCGAACACTATTTCTTTTTTCAATAGAGCAGCAACTGAAACTTGTAAATGGACATCCAAGTGGGCCTGGATGAAGGAATGTACACCAGAATTGGCGCGTGTGTGTTCGGCGAATATGTTTTTCGCCGTGAATATATTCAAGTATAATATCTGCTGGAGAATCCGGTTTTCTGTCTGTCACATTAAGACGTCCATGGGCTCTAACTGGGCGTAGGCACGTGAATACGATGTGTCCTAATGCATGCCGTGCTATTCTTCAGAGCTCCCATGCTGATCACCGCATGGTTAATCGCGACGCCGGCTATCGTAGAATTAGGGTGAGTGCACCACAAACAAGAAACCATGATCGGCACGGGATGAGAAAAAACCGTGCTCTAGTGTACAGGCTATAAGCGCTAACGCTTCCACCGGGCCAATTATTGTCGCGACAATGTAATTCCGAGCGAAATCTTAGCTACGAAAAAAAAACGAAAAAAACATGAAAAAAAGCGAGAGAGAGCCTAGAGACACCGCGCAGACAAAAAACGCAAGAGAAGCGACACCTTTTCAAGCCGGGCGAGTCGAATAAAAACACGAACAACACAAATAGCTATACGACCGCTCTACCTTCGAGCCTACGAGCTTGACGCATCTTCTAAGTGTTGTGCGCCGCTAGATGGGTAAAAAAATGAGGTTCGTGTGAATGGCGTATCGGCAGCGGACAAGCGGGCGATCTTGGCTGGTTTCGCCAGCGCCCCTCGAAAAACTAATTGCTGAATTCACAAACACCATTCTGAGAAGAAATTCTAACATTATGAAAACAAATTCTGAAAATTCAACAAACACATTCTGAAAAATCTAATTTCACAGAACATTCATGAAAAATCTTCTGGATCGCAATCAGCTGTCAGTCGTTTCCGTAGATTTTTAATCGAATGCTGCAGCGAATGCGGCAACAATACGCATGCACCAATGATCGCTCACAATTCACATACTTTCTCCCCACATCCTGTGATATTAACTGTTTCTTTAGAACGTCGAAAAGCCGTCGCAAAAATCCATCCAAATGCACGCCAGAATTGATTTTTTTGCGAAAGCCAACGCTCGTCAAAAACTGGAAAACAAACACGATAGCGCGTTACCATGAACGCTTACCCTAGCTATGTCCACTGCGTTGGCATAGTAGTGAGAGATACAGTCGATCATTGTATCTCGTAACGCGATCGTCGTTTGGCATAATATATCAGCGGTTAACTCGCCTTCCATACATGACGTGATGACTGATGACTGAGCGTTGCATGACGTGATGACGTGCATGGACGTGATGAGTGATGACGTGATGACGTGATGACGTGAATAGACGTATCGGATGACGCTGATGACTGATTGATGACGTATATGAGTGATGAACGTAATAAACGAGGGGGGGTCGGCATCATGCCGGATCGATACGCAGCAATATTGATCACAATTATACGATATACTGGCGATTATGCCACCTATCGATGACGTCTGTAAGCTGAGGTCATTGCTTGTTCTCGCGAGCGCGAAGCCGCGTCCAATGCTGGTGTACATGTGTGTAATGCGGATGCCCATACACGTATAGTTAATATTATGGTTAGGCTGACGCTGTGTGTGTATACGTACTTAGGCAGGGTGATAGCTAATACTGTGGTACATGCTTACATTGTTAATACCTTATTCAGGCGTGTATATATGCTTTACAGGGAGTCTGTGCCTTTATAGTGTGGCGGCATATATGTTTATGTTACAGGGGGTTGTGCTTATGCGTGTTTCGTGCTTACAGACGTTGTACTCATGCTGTTTCGTGCTTCATGAGTTTGTACTGCATGCTATGTTTCGTGCTAACGGATGTAGTTGTATTATGCATGTTTCGTGCTACGAATGAGTATGTACTTATGCGGTTTCGCTGCTTCCAGGAGTGTATTATGGAATGTTGATGCGGTTTCGTGCTTACAGGAGTTGTACTTATGCTGTTTCGTGCTACGATGAGTTGTACTTATGCGGTTTCGTGCTTACAGAAGTTGTACTTATGCTGTGTCGTGCTTACAGGTGTGGTCTGCAGTAACAGGGACTTCAGCACGGACGATGATGATCCATCAGCAGTGATCGATGTTGCCAATGAGATAAAAGGTAAAACACATCGTCATGACACTCTGTCTGTCTATCTGTATAGCCGTCTGTCTCTCTGTCTATCTGTATGTCCTTTCCTCCGTCCGTCCGTCCGTCCGTCTGTCCGTCCGTCAGTCCGTCCGTCTTTCCCTCCGTCCGTCCGTTCGTCCGTCCTTCCGTCCGTCCGTCAGTCCGTCCGTCCTTCCCTCCGTCCGTCCGTCCGTCCGTCCGTCCGTCCGTTCTTCCCTCCGTCCGTCTGTCGGTCCGTCCGTCCGTCTTTCCCTCCGTTCGTCTGTCCGTCTTTCCCTCCGTCCGTCCGTCTAACCTCCCGCCCGTCCGCCCGCCAGTCAATCAGCCTGTTTTTCTTCCTTAAGTATTCTAGTAGTTTCGTAGTTCGTACCAATTTAATAGCGATTATTCGATAATTGGAATGAAGAGTTGCTCTATATGTATAGTGAGGATAAAGCGAAGAAATCTCCAAGCCGTAAACTAAGCCGTAATCATGAATTCACCGCGCGCGTATTACACATACACCATGATTAAACGACGATCGTGCATCAACCGGGTGCTTATTAAATGTCGATTACCTTCGTTGGTAATACCGCCAGGGATTTTACCGTTTGCGTGATTACCGCTGTATATTAAACAACAATGGAATATTGATTTTCTTCCCCCGGAATGAGAGGAGGGTTCAAGAAAACATCCTGGGTCAGTGGGTTGTTGGATGGCAATTTGTGCTAACATTCATAATAGCAGGAGATAATAGCCTTCACACTGAAATAGTTCAGCATGCGTTCATTCGTGCGCGAGCAAATGCGCGTTATGATTGTAATTGTGTTTTTGTGCGCGGCTTACACGAAACGCAAGATTGAAAATCTGTCTCGTTAATTAAATATGCAATCTAGCGCATTCATTATTTAAACACACGCGAGCGCATTCATACCACCAGGGGGCGCTGCGCGTTTCAAGATATCGCTTGCGTGCGAAAAGCGGCGCGAATTGAATTATTTACAAGGTGCCTTTAAGCGGCTAAACTCGTGTGTTTAGCCTTTTCGTGAAGCTAATGTAAGAGGTATAGGTCCGTGAACAATGCTTAGCTGCCTATGAAAGGTAATCGTTGCGTAAGTTGAGTTATTTGAGGCTCTTTCTAGGAAGTAATCATAATTATACGCAAATTGTTATCTAGTATCGAGTTGGGCGTATTATACGAAGCGACGGTCTTACGCGAACGGGAAATTTTGCTATGTATAACACACTTGCTCTATTATGTCTCACTGTGGGATCACCCAGCCCTTTCAACGACTGCATCAGCATAAATAATATCAGGAGTGAATAATAGAGATCTCTATTATTCACTCATGATAATATTAAACCGAAATTGTCCCCATGTTTACATATCGTCAGTGAATGCAGCCTCCTTGATGAGTAAGTAGTGGTAAAACACAATTGGGTAAATAAGGCGGTTAACTGCAGTTTCATTTCTGTACGAAAATGTACGAACGTGCGGGTGATTAAGTGACGGCAGGGTCCTGCATCGAAATTTCACTTAGAGAGTTAGGGTACACCACTGTCATTGGACGAAATCTCCCGGGAGAGGTTACACTTAGTTGGCAATCTTCGTAAAACTTTGATGATTGCAGACAAAATCAACTGAATTTCAGGAAAGCGGTTAGATTTTGGTGCGTTTGCTTTACAATACCAGAAAGAAAGAGAAAGAGAGAAAGAGAGAAAGAGAGAGAGAGAGAGAGAGAGAGAGAGAGAGAGAGCGCGAGAGAGAGAGCGCGGCACAAGCCTGTCCTGACTATCAGTGCAACAGAGAATGACGTGATGACGTGATGACGTGATGACGTGATGACGTGATGACGTGATGACGTGATGACGTGATGACGTGATGACGTGATGACGTGATGACGTAATGACGTAATGACGTGATGACGTAATACACGGGGGGGGGTCGGATCATGGCCGGATCATACCAGCAATATTTGATGACAATTATACGAATTACTGGCGATTATGCTCACCATCGATGACGTCTGTAAGCTGAGTTCATTGCTGTCCCTCGGCGTCGCAGCCGCGCCAATGCTGTGTACATGTGTGTAATGCTGATGCCATACACGTATATGTATATATATGGTTAGTGCTGACGCTGTGTTGTGTATACGTACTTACAGCTGATGCCATACACGTATATATATATATATGGTTAGTGCTGACGCTGTGTTGTGTATACGTACTTACAGGGGTGATGCTAATACTGTGGTACATGCTTACATGGGTAATACTTATCCAGTGCTGTATATATGCTTACAGGGAGTTGTGCTTATAGTGTGCGGCATATATGTATATGCTTACAGGGGGTTGTGCTTATGGTTGTTCGTGCTTACAGAAGTTGTACTCATGCTGTTTCGTGCTACGATGAGTTGTACT